AGAGAAGGGGCAGTAAAGGTGGCATTGCTGGGAGGGGCGGGCGAACAGACGGACTCTAGCGTGGTGGCAGCTTTGACTTCATCACTAATGTTGCAGTGTGATGTCACGATTCAGGCGTGACGTCATGCTGGGGTGTGATATTGGATGCTTCCTGTGAACAGGGATAGCAGGACTGTTAAGAGTCTTCCTGACCTTTATTTTTTTCTCACCGGAAAACCCAGGAAAAAGCGGAGATTTCTTCAACTTCATTTTAATTTTCACTGTTAAAAAGTTGCACTAAAATGTGGCTCTAATTAACATCCTTAGTGGCAGTGTTAGTAAAGAGCCAAATTAGGGATGGATTAATTGGGTAATGGAGTAAACATATTGTTTAACTGATTAACCAGTTAAAGGGCAAGGCAAGTGAGGCATAACTTGACTCCGCCTCTCCCTCTGTGGTTGCTGGGCTGGAGCGCCTCTTCTTCCCCCCCCACCAGGGCCGGAGCAGCCTCTGTCTGTGGCAGATGAGGATCTGCTTCAGCCCCCACTGGTTAACCTTAACCAATACGCTTAATCCATTAAGAGTGTGGCTTACCGATTAACTGGTTAACCATTCACATCCCTAAAGCAAATGGACAAGTTGGTAAAACTACACTTATCCCCAGAGTCCTCAGTGGAGGAAATTAGCACACATTTTTACACCATATTTTGATCACCTGAGAGACTGGAATGGGATCAAAGGTAGCTTTATGCCAATTTTGTAATTTACAAATTTTGGGACTAGGTAGATCAAAGGTAGCTTTATGCCAATTTTGTGACTTACAAGTTTTGGGACTAGGTAGGGGGCAGTTCAGTCCGTAGCATACACTAGAGATGATGCTGTGAGGAGTAATGGTAGTTTGAATTAGGAGCTTTAATTCGAATTACCTAGCCCGTGCCACGTGTAGCCATGGGCAGGTAGTTCGAACTACCGGGCATTTAAAAATGGCGGCACCCGGGAACATGCAAATGAAGCCTGGGATATTTTAATCCCGGGCTTCATTTGAAAGTTCAAATGACTACATTAGCCACCTTAGTTCGAACTAGGGTGGCTAGTGTAGACATACCCATACTGATTTATTTGTCATAAATCTAGATTCTATTATGTTTTTCAGATTAAGGAGCAGAAGGTTGTAGTTGATGAACTTTCCAACTTAAAGAAGAGCCGGGTGAGTGATTACAAAGTGGTTCTTAGCAGTTCATTTTTTGCATTAGATACATGGAGGTGGGAAAACAAGAGAAAATAAACATAGACACTTCAAAAAAGCTGATGCCCTCTATGAGTTTGGCATTATTTTTGAAGACAGCATACAATATTGTTACATTGATATTATTAACCTAGTTTACACTCCTTGTTAAAGAAAATTGATTTACCAGGAAGTTATCACATTCAGTTTTGTGGTAATGATGGAGAGTAGCACATCCTAGATCAAAATAAAACACTTCAGTGCCTCTTCCTCCCCTTCCAAACACATCTTAATGCTTCAGCCCAAAAAGGAGACACTTCCCACTGTACATTTTCTAAGTGGTGGGGGATTTACTCTCCCTATTACATTCAGAACTAAGCTGTGCAAGAATTGATCTTTATCAGAGGAATTACCAATTTTTTGTATCAGACTCATAATTTGTCATAGATTTTTATCAGAATTTGAAGGCAAAAGTTTAAAGTTGCTTTTAAAACTACAAAGAGGACCCTCTCTACTGTTATTCTCTCTGATAAACCCCTTTAATTTTATGACCAGGGCTCTACAAACCGCGGCAAAATCCACTCACCAGTCTCGCACTGCGCATGCACGCATCACTTGTAAATGGATTTGTCGTGCCCTGTTTATGACCATCATGCAAGAATTGCTAGGTAGGCTGTAGATCAGGGAACTCAAACTCCTAGCCTGAAGGCCATCCCCAACCAGAGAAATTACATAATCCTGCCCAGGAGTCTTTGGGGACGGATTGTCTGTTCCTGTTCCTCAAGCCTCACCCCATCCCTCCGTTGCCCCGCCCTCCCTTCCATGGCAATCCATCCCCTGAAGACACAGCTTCATAAATCAACAGTGTGGGAGGGCCTGGTGCCATGCAGCAGCAGTGTTCGTTTCCCACCACCACAGTATAGTGCTGTGTGAGGCGGCTGGCGTTCATGATGGCATGCACCTTTGTGGTGCGTCTTGCCAGGCTCAAGCTGCAGCTGCTCCAGCTTTGGCTGGTGCGGGTCCACAACTTACCATTCCAGCCAATCATTATGGTGGTGATGGTGCCTGTGGATGTAATGAGGTCCCTCGACTGGTGGCTGTGCAAGGAGCTGGTCTGCGAGAGGATGCTGTTCCACAGTGCTTCTATCGAATGCCTCCAACGTGGGTTGGGGAGCACATCTCAGGAAGCTACAGACTTGAGGTATGTGGGCTCCCGCGGATCTCTCCCGCCACATCAGCGTCAGGGAACTGAGGGCTATTCACCTCACATGCGGTGTTTTCTCCCACATTTCCAAAACAGGTGTGTTTCAAAACTGATGGACAACACCGCAGCAATGTTTTATATAAACAGACAGGGTGGTGCTCATTCTTGTCCCCTGTGCCAGGAAGCCCTCTTTCGGAAGTTCTGTGTCACTCACAGCATTCACCCTGTGGCCTCTTACCTCCCCGGGGCCCAGAATGCATTGGCAGCAGGTCCTTTGAGGGACACGAGTGGTCCCTCAGGGCGGATGCAGCTCTGCACATTTTCTGCAAGTGAAGGTTTCCCCACCTGGACTTGTTCTCAACTCGGGGCAACAGGAAGTGCCACCGCTTTTGCTCCCTCTTCAACCACCGCCCAGGGTCACGGGGGATGCGCTCATGATCCCCTGGCCACGGGGTTTTCTGTATGCCTTCCCCGTTTCCCCTTATCCACAAGCTGATCCGCACGGTCAGGGAGTTTAAGGCTTCTGTGAGCCTAATAGCTTCGGCGTGGCCTCTCCAGCATTGGATCCTGGTCCTCCTTGAGCTCTCAGTGGTGTGGCCCTTCCTCTGTACCTGGACCTGATCTCTCAGGAATCTAGCAGGATTTGGCACCCGAATCTTCAGTCCCTGTACCTCATGGAATGGAAGCTCTATGGCTGACTACCTTGGAGAGGCAGTGCTTGGTTCGTGTTCAGGCAGTCCTTATGGAAAGCCATTAATCACAGAGGATTTGTAAGGGCCTTCTACCTGGCAAAGTGGAAGCGCTACTTACTCTGTCAGAGAGTAGAGGGTTTTCACCTATGGAGGCCCCAGTTCTGGCTAGAGATGTTAAAATTAGATTAGTCAACTAATTGAATAGTCAATGGAATTTCCATCAACTATTCTATTAGTTGATAAGGGTGCTTCTGCTTTGAAATGTAGTGAGAGCCTGCTGGGCTGTTGTTACATTTCAAAGGCGGAAGTTCCATTCCATGTTCTGCCTTTGAAATGTACAAGAGCCCTAGTGGGGACTCTTGTACATTTCAAATGTGGAACACTGCTTCTGCACTGCTGCCCCCTCCCACGGAGCTGGAGCTGGGGGGAACCGGATTTTAAGCCAGCTCCTGCCAGCACCCGTTCCTCCTTCTCCCCCTTGCTGCCTTTTTGTGATAGAGGCAGCAGGGTCAGGGGAAGTGACTAGTCAACTAGTCAGTTAGTCGCTAACATCCTTAGTTCTGGCCATTTTGGATTACCTCCTAGACGGTAGCACCCTAGGCCTGGCCCCCTTTTCTGTAAGGGTGCACTTGGTGGCCATCTTTGCCTTCCACTCAGGGTCACGGAGCAGGTCTGTTTATATGGACCTGATGATGCATAAGTTCCTTAGGAGATTAGATAGCGTTTAACCCCAGGTGCATAATCTCCTGTGCTTCCTGTATCTAAATCTGGTGTTCTCTGCTCCCCTCCCCTCCCACTTCAAGCCCATGGCTACATGCTGTCTACTGCACCTGTCCTGGAAGGTGTTCTTCCTTGTGGCCATTACCACTGCTAGGTGGGTTTCAGAGCTGTGGGCCTAATGGCAGACCTGCTGTACATGTTTGGTTTTTTAAAAGAGAAGGTCAGGCTTCACCCTCTCCCCACGATCCTGCCCAAGGTGGTATCCCACCTCCACCTTCAATTGGACATTTTTCTGCCATTTTTTTTAATCCAAAACCCCACAGTTCTGGGACAGAGCAGGCTTTACACATCTTAGATGTTAGATGAGCCTTAGCTTTTTATTTAGAAAGGACCAAACCCTTTTGTAAGTTCCCCCAGCTATTTGTGTCCATAGCTGACAGGATGAAGGGCTTGTCAGTGTCAGCCCAATGTATTTCATCCTAGATCACTTCCTGTATCAAGGCGTGCTGGCACAAGTTCCAGCCCCGCTGACCTTAGCCCGTTTAACCAGAGCCCAACCATCTTCCACTGCCTTCATAGCTCAGGTGCCCATCGTGGAGTCTGCAGGGCAGTCAACTGGTCATCAGTGCACACTTTTGCGAACTATTATGCCTTAGCGCAGCCAGGGAGGACACAGTAG